ACAAATGAAATACAAAAGCTATTTACAGAAATAATTAAAGAAAACTTCCAAAGCATAGAAAAAGAAAATGATATTAAGATAAATAAAGCATACAGAACTCCAGCCAGGTATAACAAAATGTATCTACACCCAGACATATAATAATCAAGATCCCAGAAATTCAACACAAGAACAGAATATTAAAAGCTGTCAGAGGAAAGAAACAGATCTCTTATAAAGGAAAACCCATCAGAATCATGAAAGACTTCTTGACACAAAACTATCAAATCAAGAAGAGCTTGGAATGAAGTATTCCAAGCCCTGAAAGAAAATAACCTCCAATTCAGATTGATGTACCCTGCAAAACTATCTCTCAAAATTAATGGAGAAACAAGATGCTTCCATGACAAAGAGGAACTGGGAGAGTCCATGACCACCAAACCAACCCTACAAAAAATACTGAGGGGCATTCTAGAGAGAAATTTTGTTTGATCATTGTCTTGTTTTGACTGATTTTATTCTAATCTATTTTGTTTGATAATATCAAATCTGAAGGTATAGGCAACTACTTTGAAGACAATAAGATTCACTATGATAACCATTCTGGCTTGACTATTACCTTCTTTTGAAGTCCTATAACGTCTCCAATGTTTCATTTTTATTGATTTTGTTCTGTACTATTTTATTTAATTTTATTAAGCCTGATACTATGGGCAATTCTTTTGATGATAACAAGAGGCATTATGGTAACTATTGTTAATCATCTTATATTTTGGTTTTAAGTCATGTAGTATGTCCCTCTTTTTATTTTGACTGTCCCCATTTTGTTTTCTCTCATTTGGTTTTATTCTCTTCAAAATAAAAAAAATCAATAAAAGGAAGTAGGGATACAGATCTTTCTTAAACAGGAAGGTCAAGAGATGGAAAGAAAATGGAGGAGGGGAGGGAAAGGAATGAAGATGTACTATGTACATGCAACAGCACACCACGAAGAATGTAAACATTATGTGCTACAAACATTTACTAAAAAAAAGTTCTGAAAGAAGCAATGTTCCTGAAATGCGCCCCAAAATATGTCTGACAAATTCATTTTCTATCCACCTATTAACAAAAGACATTGCTAAAATAAAGAGTAAAGATAAATGGCTGCTTGATGACCCAAATGACCTTGAGCTATATCTTATCACTGGAAAGATGAGGAGAGAGCATGATTTACAGGTACAGAAGTGATGACAAGATACTGAGTGAGAAGTAGGAAGACACAAAAGGCAACGAGAAGACCAAGAGGCCTAAACAAGTAACTCCACAGTGTCCTTGTTAAACTGCCTTCAGATCTAGGTGGGTTTTCAGTGCTTCTGTTCGAGGACAGGATGAGGACAGCTATCAGTGATATGCAGGCAGGTGGCACAGGCAGTTTGGACACACTAAACAGTGGGATGATACCAGATCCGAGCAGCTCAGAAAAGGTCCCAGGAGATGTTATTACTCTACTCAAGTGGCACTCAGTTTGAAACTTACTGTTTACTTCAAGAATTTTTCACTTAATATTTTGTTGACCACAGGTAATGGAAATTGAGGAAAGTGAAATTACATATAATAAGGGATTATTGCCCTTTTGAATGGAGAAGAGGCAATAATGAATGGACAAACAGACCCACAGAATGATACAGTGGAAGTAAGTGGGATGATCCAGCGAAATGCTGAGCAAAGCAACAGAGTCTCATAATACTTTATACAAGGTAGGCATGGCTAGATTAACTTGACAGGGACTGCTCCATGAAGCCTCTCCATTATTTCTCATCTCCCTTTACCTCTCATGTGTCAGACTCTGCAAGAACTAAAGGTGACCTACTCCTTTACAACATCTGAGGTTGTTTCATCACAGTTGTAAAATGTTATCAGCTTCTGGTTTGGAGTCACAGGAGTGCAATAAAGAGGTTAGTCACATGTGTCCTAGGACCAAGGAAAATGGTGTTTGTGAGCTCAGGACATGGCTGGAGTTGTCTGCCAGATACTGGGGAGAAATTAAATGATTGAGCCTGCAGTAGAATTCCCAACGAACAAATTTTCAGCCTCCTGTGTCTTCAGATAAAATGGAACAATTCAATGAAAAAATACTTACTTAGGAGAGAAACCAATAAAATTTTACATGAAAATTTTTTGTAAATTTTTTATTTATTTAATAGTTAATGATGGAGGAAAGTTCAAATGTTTTGCTGGAATACAGTCAGTACTTTTTTTCTGTTATATTTATGAAGCATCAAGATTTTTTTTCTCCTATGTCTCACTATTTCAACATGAATAGCATTCAAATATTAAATATGCATCATTTAAGTGTAAAGTTCTCTCTAAAAATTTTAGTGTTACATTGTCTTTTTCATCTAACATTTTGCTAGAAACTTTTCAAAATGAGGCGAAGGGAAAAGGCTAGCCAATACCAAGATTTTTCAACTATAATACACAGTTATTTCAATGCATACAAATACAAATGGTCTAATGTATTTAAATAAATGCTATACAATTTAAAAAGATACTTACTGAATTCATGGGCCTTATATGGTCTAGCTCTACCTCCTATTTAGATAGGTACTAATTCTACCCATTATACTAAGCAAATGCAATAATATGATTTTCAGGCTTTGTAAGTCACACTTCAGTTAATTTTAATTTTTTCCAGTTAGTGTATGAAATTATTGTAAATTTATTCATCTCAGAAAATGTTCTACACTCATTCTGTGCCCATTTGATCCTTTAAATTAAACCAATCAAGTCCTATCTATGTGATTATTTCTGTTACAGAAAGATGATTTAATTTTATCAGTTTCTCCCCTAAGTAGTAAAATTATACATGTAACTATTACACTTAAATCACCCCTTCCTGCTTCCTTGTTACACTATTAGTTTCCTTTCTCAGGTACGGTAAAAATGTCTCTCCAAAATACATATAGAAAAAGATTATTCTTCACCAGTTCCATAATATTTTTACTCTGGCAAGTGCATAAATTCTTTTTCTTTCTTGTGTGTATTCCAGATATTTAACCAGTAAGTGAACTGTATTTTTCTAGTTGTAATATAGAATTTATACCATAGAAGACCTGTTTCTCTGGCCATGCAGTCCATATGTAGATAAGAACTTTCAGGTTCATATTTTGTTTAACATCTAGCCAAGAATACATATATTAATCTAATTTATATTATCCCTTTTCTGCCTAGCATAGAACTCCAGAAAATATAGACATTATAAATTAAGCAATAATCATTCCATCAGGATGTACCATTATTTTCCCAAGCCATTTAGGTTTCTCCTACAACTCCCAGTGTCTTAAATCTTTCTCACTTTCACCTTTGCCCTTATGTTCTTTCACTCATGGTCACATCTGACCTCCCGCTTGGTCTTTTTTATTTCCCCAGAGCAACTTACGTTAAATTCTCATTTCTCTAGATTATTCTGCATTTGTGGATAAGTCCCTGTATTTAAAATAATCTTCCCTGATTATTTTACATGCTAACTTCATCTCCAACCACTTTCTGTCTCCTGGGACAGAAAATCTCTGTCTACTGGGACCATCCTTATGCTCATTTTCCTGCTAGCAACATTCTTCAGGCCTCATTCCCACCAATGTTGTCCAGGGCAAATCAAAGCGTCAGCACTTTAGAGAAAAGATGCTGTCTGTTTCCATTTCTTCTAAAGTACCATGGCTGGCCCTAAAAATAATATCTTCCATCAAAATATTATTCTTTAATTCAGTGTCAAAGTCTATTGCCCAAGCCATGGCCAGATCTGCAAAGTCAGCTTCAATTGTTCCTTCAGGTATTTATTTCCAAGTTTCTAGAAGTTCTAGGGCCATGGACCCCCAGAAGGTGAAAAGAAACGAAACACATTTCTTATAATAAAAGAATAAGAAAAGCCATTGAACACATTGTGTGGGTCATTTTGTGCTAGCAGCAAAAGGACTGACTATTCTTAAAATATAGAAATGAAAAATGGATGATTTAATAAAAAGTTCTGAGGCTTCACTGGCCTTATGTCTCAATCCTTTCATTTTCAGAGATACTTCTAAGGGGGTTTTCACAATAGTAACTATTTGTCATCAGTTTGGTCCTTTAAAGGCCCAAGTAATCCAAAAGATTGTTTTGTTGGCACTTCATTTTTGGAGAATATTCTCCAAATGCCTGATGACTGTGGGGAAGCAAAAACTGGTAGGTTTTTTTTATTTCCATATTAAGTTTAAAATTTTATCTACCTATCAGCTATCTGGCTATTCATCTATCTGAGGTGTGATCAAATAATACAGTGCTTATATTTTTAAAATTTATTGCAGAAAAGGCAGTTTTTCGTATTTCTCAGGGCACTCCTTCTTGTCTAATGGAGTGCTCGCTGCATTATTCTCATCACTGCTGAAGCAGTTCTGGAGGTCCTCTTTCCAATGTGTCTTTAGTTGCACTATCCTTTCTACCTCTAGGTCCTGAATTGATTTAAACTTGATTTGAAATGCTTACCTTTCATGGTCATTTTGACTTTGTAGAACAGCCAGAAGTCACAGGGTATCATATTTAGTGAATAAAGAGAATAAGGACACCCAGTAATATTTTTATGAGCCTGCCCTTCCAGTAGATGGTACCCAGCATCGCATTCACTGCGTTTTTTGTCACATAGGGGACTTCCAGAAATGCAGCAGAAAATTATAAAAATGATGGCATAAGTAATCATTGATGGGAGGGGGATATTTTGAGACTGATTAATGACAAAGTGTCTTTTACTAAAATTATTTAATTTAAATGTTTACTGTATACTTTGACCACCCTTTGTGTATCTATATCTCCATCCTAATTCTCATCCCATTTATATCCAGAAAAAAAATGTCTCTACATTTTCAAAGGTTATCTATAGTATTTTGCTTTTATGGAAACATTAGAAGAAAAGAACAATTATGCAAGACTCCATTTAGTTTTGATTGCCTTAAAATTCAAACTGTTGAGGTTTTACAGGCTCACACTAAAAAAAAAAGAAAAATACTTACCACCTAATTCCAGATATCTTGTAACTTATGAACCACTAGACATAAAATCATTGAGTCTCCAGGGAAAGGCAGAGCCTAAAGTGGAAACAAGGAAATCAAACTGGTCAATAATGAAGAACAAAAATAAAAACTTTTATTCCTGAACAAGGCTTTTTTTAGTTTTACAATATTTGCTGCTTTTTATTTTTTTGTTTTAGGTCTTTATACTTCCAGTCAAAATCTTCTTCCTCTCCTTCATTTCTAATCCAACTAACAATTAAGTTACATTATTAATCAAGCAATGGCCGTAGTTGATAAAAATTCAAATTAATAATGTCTTATTTACTCCCTTGAACATAAGTCACATACTCCAGTACTTTCTAGAGCTAAATAGGCAGCCTATTGCATTCACAACTCAAAGGCATTGTTCATTCATGCTGCATTTCACATTATGGTACGCTGGGAATAATAAATAAATGGAGCCAGGAAACTCAGTGGTACCATGACAGGTAAAGTAAACATGTAAATTAGCCTTGGAAGAATAGTAAGAAACAGAGGGCCTGTCACCAAATTGGAGAGCACAGGATCTTTCCCAGAAAGCAAATGAGAACCTGCAAAGAGATTTTGGACAGCAGGTTATATGCTTACAGTTTCATCCTAGAAATAGTTCAGGAAAGTATTTGCAATTAGACTTTGTCTCCTGTATTATTAAAATTATTATATTCTAGCATTGTTTCTGGGGTTTTTTAATTCTTTCTCAATTCTCCTATTTTCAAGAAAATTTTAAATTCCAAAAGCAGTACAGTGCAACATCCATCCTATCCCAAAAGCAGTTGAATCACTTGTTTATATTGTTGCTTATTAAAAGAATATAATGATAAATCCTTGTCTCTACAGACACATAATTATTAGATTTAAATGAAGTTATTACTTAGTATAAGATGGTCATCACTTTATTGTTTCTTCCTCTTGTTCTTATTTGCTTGTTGACTGTTCAAGATACACAATTTTCCTGTATAAGTGAGTGATATAATCTGCAAAATTCCATGGCTCTTACCTACCAAAAGCTTACAGTTTCGATAAATAACAAATATATACACAAAAAACTATATTATAACTAACAAGAGTTTTTTTTAATATACTAATAGATTAAGGAAGAGAGAGAGAGATTTTGGGATATATGAAAGACATTGAAAATGCTCCTTAATGATGGACCGAGACAAAGTGATGAAAGACACAGAATATTAGATTGGTGAGGATACAGAAACCAAAACACTGTGGCTCATCTAAATCAGGTAGTCAGAATACCTGCAGCCTGCAGAGAGTAGATGAGATGATAAGATTAAAAGAAAGGCAAGTTGAACATTTACCTTACTGTAGGTCATTACTTCACTTACCTTAGGTCACTTCTTCTTGGACAGCGTGTTTCCAGATTATTCTCCTACTACCCCAACCTTGAAATAAAGCCATCCAGACCTCAATCTTTGAACCATTATCAGCTCCTTTATGAACTTACTCTCATTTCTTTAAGTACCATCTTTACCCTGAAGACCCCCAAACTCGTGTTCATACCCTGAACCCCAGATGGGTACATTGTTACCTACATGCCACTTGTGCTTAGAAACATAATAATCATCAAAAAATCAAAAGTAGTATCTTTAGTAACTTACTCTGTTTGGGTTGCTATAACCGAATAATATATACACTATGTGGCTTATAGAGAACAATTTATTTCTCATAATTATTAAGTCTCAAAGTCCAAGGTCAAGGTACTAGCAGGTTAGTGTCTGGTGGTATCATTCCTTCTCTTTGATGGTGCTTTTGCACTTCGTTTTCTCCTGGTGAACGGGATAAGGGTCTCTCTCTTATGAGAGCACTAATCCCATTCATGATGGCTCCACTTTGTTGACCAAATCACTTATCAAAGGTCCCACCTCCAAATATCATTATATTGGAAGATTTTAACATCTGAATTTTGGGGGACACCCTATAGAAGTGCTAAAATTGAGTTCCTGATATTCTCCTGAGCCTTCTGAGTTGATTTTTTTTTCCTGATACTCAGGCCAAAAGTCCTGCAGTCATCCTGGTCTCTGTTTCTCTATTACACTCTGACAATTACCAGAAAATCCTATTGACTTTATCTTAAAAATGCAAAGCTGTACAACTTGACCACTTTGGACTGGGTCACATCATCTCTTACGTGAATTTCCTGGATATCTCTAATAGGTGCTCCTGTTTCTCCTCGTGTACACAGCATCCTCTACACAGAAGCCAGAGTAATTCGTTACAGTGCAACAAAATATATGTCTTTTGCCTACTCGGAACATTAAAACAGCACCCACTTTACTCACAAGAGCCTCAAAACATCCCAATGGTTGTACCAGCTCCTGCTTCTGACCTTCAGGAAAAGGCAACCTCTGCATTGCTCCACATTTCCTTGGAGCTGATAACTGTGGGTACTGGGGTAGCTCCTTTATTATGCTTTTCTTTACACTCCCTCTTCCCAAGAGACCTACACAGTCCATCCCATCAACAACTGCATTCTCTCATTCTCTCACATCTCCTTCTTCAATGTACATTTTCCATAGAACTTTTTCATAGACTTTATATGTTACCATGTTTTTTCTCTGCTCCATGGTGATATAAGCTCTAGAAGGGCAGAGACCTTTGTAGATTTTACACACTGCTGTATTCTCAGTGTCTAAGACAGTATCTCCAAGGTAAGAGGAACTCAACCAGTATATGGTATTTGAATGAAGGAAGTATGACCTTAAATAGTCACAAGTAATTAGATGCCACTAAAACTGCCTGAATTGAACCTGAAGGAAAAGTAAGGAGCAATAAACCTCTGTCCACACCTTGCACCAGGTCTCTGAGGCAGAAAGGATATTGTTGCAGCAACTGTTAAAAATCAAAATCTCAGAAAAATTCCCATCAGCACCACCACCCCATAATAATCCCATCTCTGTATCTCTGACTACATTCATTTTGTCCTTATGGGAAAAGTTCAGACTGTAGAGGGGGAAGGAAAAGAAAAAATCCTAAGTTCTTATAGTGAATGTTAGTCAATAGGATATATGAAATAGAAGTTACAATTGATTTTGGATTGTAAGGATTAGTGATAACCATCAATTACATATAAGGAATTCAGAAAAATACAGGTGTTTATAAAATCTTCCTCTCTGCCTTAATGATTCATTAGGAAAGGCAGAGCACAGTCTGTCTCCTAAACTTTTCTGCTTATATATGCATAATTTATTCCCTAAAATTCTTGCTAATGTTATGGGTAGAAATTACCAACCAATGTTGGTAACATGCTCAGCAATAAAATATGCTTTCTACCTAATTCCTTTTGTTATGTATCATTAATTTTTCTATGATCCAGGTTTTCAAGTTCTGTTCCTATCATCTGACTATTCCATCAACTCTCCATTTCTTTCAGTTCCCCACCCTCACAAAAACTTTTATTGAATTAAAAATACATATATTTCTTATTCTGTCCTTCCCTCATCAATAAAGCTTTAAGAATTAACTTTAAAACTATAGCGGTTGAACTCACTGAATTGTGCTTCAGATTTACTATATAGTTTCTGTAAAAAGCAAGGTAGACTATTTCAGTGATTCTCAAATGTTTTGATGCCATTTTACTCATGAAAGTTATTGAAACCTCTCAAAAAGTCTTTGCTAATGCAGGTTATTTACTTAAGCAATTACATAAATTAAAGTAGAGTGAAATTTTAAATACAAGTGTCTTGGTTACTTTTCTCTCATTACTAGGACAAAATACCTGGTACCCAAAGGAAGGAAAAGTTTATTTAGCTCACAGTTGGTAGAGCTTTCAGCCCGTAATTAGCTGGCTCAAGGCAGGATGGCATGGCAGAGGGTCAACTCAAGGTGACAGAAGACAGCAGCAGCATCAAGAGAGGAAATAAAAAACAAGAATAAGCCTCTTTTCCTCCCGGTATTATATGCAGGCTATCAGCTGTCAGGTAAAAATAGCACTCACATCATCTCCCTGCCCTCCTCTTGCACAGGCTCAGGATGTTTACAATGTGAGAACCTTGGCTCCCTGTAGAGTCAGTTAGTTAAACTTCTAAACTTCTCAAATTGACACAGTGAACAACACCCTAGAGCAGTAAGGGCATGTTCTCTACACCCTAAAATGTAGAACTGCTGAGTTACCTAGTTAAGATTCTAGACTTCTTAAACTGACACAGTGTATCAGCCATTACAATCTACCCACTGTCAATTTGGCAACCAGACAAGTTCTTTAAGATGGTTTCCAGATACTAATATATGCTTATTCTTATTGTTTCACAGCTTAACATTATGACACAATTTGTCCAATCCTTAAGAACCAGTATTAAGACTGTCAACATTATATTACATTCTAATCACATCTGCTCCTAACCCCCCATGAACATCTCTTTTGAAAAAAAAAAAAAAAACATTTAGTCTGTCTCTAATAGTTGTCACTGTCTTAATAGTTTCAGACCTGCTGAAATGTCCAAGTCCCAAGTCTCCTCTGAAAAGTAAAGCAAACTCTTAGCTAAAAGCCTCTGCACAAATGAAAAGTTAAACACTTCCAATACTCAATGGCACAAGATAAACACTTTCATTCCAATATTTTCAAGTGGGGGAATACAAAGGATGGTATTCCTCCTAAAGCAAATCCAAATTCCAGCAATGAAAATATTAAGTCCTGTAGTTTCATGTCCAGCATCTGTTGCAATCTGTTCAATTTTTGACCTACAAAGAGCTTGCATGATTCCACCCTATGGCACTTCCAGTGGTTATAGGTCCCACAGCTGGATTTGCTCCCATATTGTAGCTTTTCTTAGATGATCCACATTCCTGACTTTTCCAAACTTCTGGGTCTCTACTGCAACTTCGGCTTCATACTCACAGCTTCACACATTGCCCTCTCAGAGGCACACTGCCTGGACTTCCAGGACTTCTTCTGAAATTGAGATGAAAGCCTTCTTTACCCATAACTCTTGCACTCTCCATGCATCTAAAACCAGTGCCATATGAATGATGCCAAGGTCTGCTTTCAGCTAAAGTGGTAGCCAGGCTTCCCTCTTTCTTGGCTGTAG